GCAGGCCCATGAGCTGGTAGTTGGCCTGCCATCCCAACTTCCTTTAGCGGTGCCTTGTGTCTGAGCTGGGCATTCGTCACCAGCTTCTGTTTTTTCGTTATCGTGACATAAACATTAATCGGTCCACGCAAATGACGCAGTAGCACACATTTGCGTGTTTGGTGTTGAATGCAATATCCATCTTTGTGCGTTAACCCGCTCTGCCATTGAATGATGAGACAAGGCCTCACAACAAAGAAAGGCCTGTTGATCAACGCTCATCTCTTGCGCCTTCAGTTGCTGGTCCACCTAGCAAACGCACTATAGCAAGCATTTCCAAAGACGATCGAAGCGAACCTAATTTTGCTTCACCCCATGGTTGAGTACGTTGAAGGCAGGAAGGCCATGGCGGCCTGAAGGAAGTACTGCTCTTTCTTCATTTCGGCTTCCTGGCTTGGCCGCTTGGCTTAGCACAAACGAGCACTGCAGGGTCTCTCTGCTGGTATGGTGATTTTTTGGTGCCTGCCGGAGAGCTTGCTTCTTGACCTCGTTCTGCTGCTCGATCATCTTAATGCCCTGGCCAGGCTTTGAAGCTTCCTCAAAAAAGAGGGATGGAGTCAGGAGCTTCGTCTTCGTCTCCTGCCTGCTCCAGTTGGGCATCCAAGCTTTTCTCGTAGGCATGCTTCTGCTGCTCCACAGCGTGTGGATCCGGCATCCTGGAACCGCATAAAATGGGTGACGCTGTGCGACATACTGTGAGCATCTGTGAGCGGTCTGTCTCAGGCTTCTGTGCTCCGCACCCCTCGGTGAGCCTCGGGGGCTCCACTGGGGGTCCAGACCTCATCAAAAAACGTGCTTTCCGAAGCAGTGCCCTTGGCATCGGCGACTTGAAGGTTCTCTAAGGCAGCGGCATCTGCGGCTGTGCTGCCGGAATGGATGGCACAGATGGTGCGGTGAAGCCCGAGAGCGGGGTGGGCCTGGGTGCTGGAGGTTGGATATGTTGGATTTGGACCCGTAAAGCCTGCCTGAACTGATGCAGGTTGGTGCCAAGCTCAACATGTGCTGTCGTGCTTAGGCCGGCGGCGTGGCCGGCTGGTAGGAAGTGCCCACCGCCCTTGGTCTGCAGTCATTCAAGCTACAGTATGGTGTATTCATCTTTCAGTCAAGACTGAACAGTTCCATCTCACCCTCCAACCCTCCGGAGGCTCAGTACCTGGGAGCTGTGAGCCGTTGATTCCATCTCACCTCCCAGACCCCAACCGCCTGTGATCGAAGCAAAAGCAAGAATTTGCGGCTTCCACGTTTGCTAGATCAGCTCAAAGCCCGAGCACCCTGGTGTCCTCTGGCAAAGTTAAAACAAAGCTGAGCCAGCGACGTGGCCGGCTGCGGCTGGTAAGTGCCCACCGCCCTTGGTCTGCAGTGATTCGAGCGTAGATGGCTTTGGCCGCCGCAGGCTCTGCGCCCGAAACACTTCAACATCCTGTTGCGTGCACTTTGCCACGGCTAGCGGCTAGCGCTGAGCCTGTGGCGTGGCCGGCTGCGGCTGGTAAGTGCCCACTGCCCTTGGTCTGCGATGGTTCGAGCGCAAATGGCTTTCGCCGCCACACGCTTTGCACTTTGCCACGGTTAGCGCTGAGCCTGTGGCGTGGCCGGTTGGTAGGAAACGTCACTTGCCCTTAGTCTGTTGCTTGATTATACACAAAAGGACGCGGCAAGACCCGGCCATGATTTGGGTCGGGTGTGCTGCTTGAGAAGCAAATCTGAAAGCTGAATTCTTAATCTCTTCGTTTTGAGCCTGATGCATCGCCCGCTTTCAAAAGCACATGTGCCAGGAGCTGCCTTGACACACGCACTCCTGCCGCGCTGAGTGATGCGCCCCTGTTGCTGCGGCGGGGTGATGGTGATAGTAGGCAGCTGGATTGGTTGCCTTTGCCGACGGCATGAGCTGGAAACGACTCCACGACATATAATTGTCATTCCCCTTGCAGCATGAGTTCGTGAATGCTGTTGATCTGCAGACTCCTGATCGGCTGTAACTGCGCCTTCCAAGTAAAAGGTGCCGTTGCAGCATCTAGGGTGATCAATGCCTAGACTTCGGATCAGGGCTTCGTGACTGCTGGGCCCTCAGCGGTGTTTGGTATGAGTAGGAACTGGGGCACCTCCGACAATTTGCAGAGTCTGCGCCAGTACTTGCTGCATTTTCAGGCTGTCAATTCGCATGTTGCTCTGTGTTGTGACTAAGAGCTGCACGGTGAAGCTGCAGATGGATAAGATGTTGGCAAGGTCCTGAGGCAGAGGACACAGCAAATGAGCCCTCTGTAGCCTATGCTACTTGGCCGTCCGGTACTGCCCATGCGCGGTGCTGGGCTCCAAGCGGCGATACAGCGGCAGCGGACGGATAAGAGGTCAGGCATGTTGTTGCAGGGGCCCTCAGGGATTTGCTTCAAGTTTACACTATGATCTCCTGGTGTTGCCTGTCCATCTATCACATGAGTTGTCATGCGCATGGCTCCCAAACGCGATGGCTACCCCGCTTCATGGTTTGCAAGTGTATTCATGTGCATCATAGAGCCCGAAGACTAAAGCCCGTAGGCACCGCTGAACCATGAGCTTCACGCGCTGAGGGAGATGACTGGTAAGTGGCTGGCCTCGCACACAAGCAACACCCAATCAAGTGCGGGAGCCACAGGAAAGCGATTTAGAGGGGTGGGAGCACTGCGAGGCTCGGGAATATGCAGTTGCTCAGGAGTCAGAATCGAGAAGTCCTGGAAGGTAGTGGCTTAAACTGAAAGCAAGCTTAGTGCAGTGCAACGGATGTTGAACTGGAAGGACGGACGGCTGGGGATGCTGAGTTGGAGCATGATGGATTACCCGCTTGTGCAAGCGGTCAAGCTGTCACACATCATATGGAGGCAGCTGAAGACTGCGTGCAAAAAGAAGCAAGTTGCTGGAAGCATGCGTTCCGTCTATCTCAGTTCCTCAAGCATGTTGACAAACATTCCCGACCTTCGTCCGCTGAATTATCTCGAAATTCAACAGCTTTGAACAGGCCAGCGGTGCGATGTGCCAGTGATCACCGAAGTGAGCGGGGCAGCCTGGAGCATCGCTTCAACCAATCAATTGAAGAAGGAACATGAGAAACCATGTCACGGTTCTGTGGGAACTCCTTCCACCACTTGTCCCGTGCCCCACCATTGGACCATCCCGTTCGCAGTGTACTTTCCAAGATTGAGCTACTGCTAGATCTGTCATGGCAGCAGTATGATGTCTCAGTGCAGAACTGTGTACGAGGCTGGAGCAGGTGCTGCGTATTGGACAGCAGGTGAGCTCGTGATTGGATAGGTTGGATAGCTTGTAGTGATAGTCCTTGGACAAACATCGACAGCCGAGCAGCCCAGGATGCTGAACAAAAAGCCATACAAAGCCGGTGCCGGCAAAGCTCGTGTAGGGGCTTGTTGTCATTGGAGCAGATGCCGTGATGGTCGTTCCCAGCGTAGTCGCCTAAAGTGCCAATTGTGTTGCGCTCTGCAGATATGCGAAGCGCAAAAGGAAGTTTAGCATCACACCGGAGCCGTGCCGCCCACGAGCTTGGCATACTCCTGACATGGGTCTCTCTAAACTTGCTACAGGTATGTGCGCATGTGCCGCTTGCACTCTGACTTGCAGCATCTGTGCCAAGTACGATCTCCTCAGCCGAAATCACTTTGTACTCTACGGCAGCGTCAGCTGCATCCTTGGCCAAGGTACTAGGAATGCGCCAGCTGCATCTTTGCTGAGAGCGCCCGTTGCCTGCCTATCAGCTGGAAGATGCAGGAGCCACTAACATTTGCTGCTACTTCCGGTCACGACACTGGGCACGGCACGGCTCCGCCTCAGTTCTTCTGCAAAGGCACAAAATCTACAGGGCAGTGTACACTGGCACAAAACTAACACTGCGCATCACAAGCACATGGCACATGCTATATCAGTGCAGCTGAGCAGGTCTGTCAAGTCTTACTTCCCTAGCAGACACGGCAATTGGATCCCTGCCAGCCACGGCCGTTTGGGCCATAGGCTTCGGGTCCCCTGGCAGATTGGTAGTGTAAACGTCTTCATCAGCAACGTTCCCGTGAATCCATGGCATGGCCTCAATCCAAACTGTGTAACCCAACAGAACCCCGGACATGAGGAGGCAAAATGGCAACGCCAGCAGCACTGCACTTGGCAGAACAGGTGGCCAAATCCAGGAGTGTTGCTAAGGAGATTCAGGCGATGAGGTCTTCTCATAGTCCCGCTCCTGACAACTCCAAAGCCACCAAACAAGGTTCGGCCTGGGCAAGCCGGATTTCTGCCAAAGACAGTATATCCCGGCCCAGAGCCCAAATGGCAGCTGCATGACAACTAGCAATCTCAGCAGCATGGCACAGAAGAGCAGCAGACGAGGAGAGAGGCGACGCGCGATGAACTTTTCCTAAGCAAGGATGGCATCAGCCGGATGAGTCTATGCTCGGAAGCTGACTCCGTAGTTTACATAAGAGATACGGCAAGCTGTCACGACAGCCAGTGGCCGAATTAACCATGACTGGGCTTCACACCAGTCAAGCTTTCACGGGAATGTTGGGAGCATGTTGACTTCTTCTCTGCGCTCACATCAGGCGGCCTCACTCAATACATGTATTTCCGTCCCCGTGCTTCATTGGCAACGTTGGCATTGGTGAGCAATCTCAGGCTGCTCCTTTAGAGCTGGAGGGCCTACGCCCAGGGGCGATGGGTTGTCCGTCTTAAGCCACGGCCTTGTGCTTTTCGGTCGACGTAAACACTACATCCCCTGAATCCTTTTTTTTGGGACCCTAGAACCTGGGAGCCCCTGGAGCAGAAGCTCAGCAGCCACTGCGACATATTGAGGACAAGAAAACTACCAGGTTAGCAGCTGTTTTCTGCGATGCACTTGAAGAAGCGACTCTGGACAATGGAAGGACTTCAACACCTCTGACTGAAGAAAAGAAAGCGGTGTACCAAGATCATACTTCGCTGGCGCGCGGTCACGCGATGCCCATTGGCGGCGCCGCCTGTTCGTTTGACTGCAAGGAACAGCGGCAGATCACAAGGAAGGGTGAGGTGTCTTTTGTTTGCTTGCTGCTGCGCAGGCTAGCAGGAATTGCGTGAAGCGAATCTGTATTGCCCACTGCAAAGGCTGTGACAGGAATCAATTAATCAAGGACTTCTAGCTCCGTATGCGCCTTCACACACGAACAGTTTGCAGGACATCTTCCAGTGAGCTGACTGAGCACCAGGCCTGTGGAGCGTAATAAGCTGGTTGCTGGGCGTAGACAGCCGGCTGCTGGGCGTAGACCTGTAGACTCTGTAGACTTGCATGTACCTCCAAACATTCTGGTACCGGCTGAACTATTGCCACGGATCCGGACCAAAGCTAGCCTACTCGCGTTGGAACCTGAATCAGCCTCATGCACCTGTCAATGTAAAGTGAAGAGGCGGGAGCTGGGGTTTGCCGGTTTGAGGTTTTGCGAGGAGAGCTTCCGACTAGCCGCTACGACGGTCTCGTGAGTCTCGCGTGATTTCCTTATGTGACCGTTGCAGATCTGGATTCTGGCGGAAGTGCTTGTTGTCTGCAGATCGCCTAACTGATGAACGCGGAATCTGACCAAGTAGAAGCCCCTTCATTGCGATGACCATATCAGATGACTCTGGAGACATGCGGGGTTCTGTGTTGTAGGAAGACAGTTAAAACATGCTAGGGCCTGGGGACAGCCCCGCATGTTAATAGATATGGGTAGAGAAGCAGGCAAAGGCATCAGCAAGGAGTATGCGCGAGCGCAACATAGCAGTGTCGAGAGGAAACATACTGCATGTCCGAATGAAGCTCACGAGAAAAAGGCAGCAGGCAAAAGCCAGAGGACATGTCAAGCCAGTCCACAATTGTGTGGCGTGTGTGGCTGCTCGAAAGCAGCTAATGGTATCTAAGCCCATGCACGTCCAGTAAAGAAGAGACAGCAAACAAAGGCAGACAAAGGAGGCACAGACATGAACACAAGCAGAATGAGGTGAACTCTTAATGTACTGCCGAGGCAGCAGCACCACCCTCAATACCTATCCCAGGTCAATCATGAACAACACATTGAAAGCGCCAGAACATTTTCTACACGGTTCCCGTTCGTGGAATGACTCCAACCTCAGGCCGCGCCATCGCAGGCGGTGGTGCCTGCCTCTCAGCCACCAGTCCGGCAGCCTGCTAGAAGGTTTCAGATGTGGGGCCTCCGGGTTGCTAGGCCAGTAACACCAAGCTTCACAAAGTGTCAAGCTTGTCAAGTTTGAAGAGAGGCTGTGTCCTTTTGTCCTGTGATTGATGCAGCATTTCCATTCGGAGGGCTCGAGGCTTTGGCACTCATGTTGCTGCCAAGTTCGGATGTTAAGGGTCTCTGGTTTAAGGCTATCAGGCCAAACGCTTTTTGAACATTGCCGTTGTCCAGCCACCCTGTACCAGTTTTGGAGCGGAAGCCGACCTTCACGATGAGCGAAGGATGCTTCTCAAAGAGTAGGGAAGAGCTTCGTTGCCATTGCTCCAGTTCTAGGTCAATCTTGTCTTCTGGATACGAAGATGCCTGTCCACTTGCACCGTAAGCAATTTGCGTAAGACCAGCTACGAGGAAGGCCGGCTGAGGCTGAGCATGCCCTGTGCCTGCTGGGCATATTGCTCTTGCATGGCACGCTGCTGATGAGCGAAGGCCTCAATCATCCAGTTGTGAACGATTGGGGGCCGAATCCGCTGACAGGTTCATGTACGGGGAACACAGCTTACAGGTTGCCTGTGTGTGCATGTCTGTAAGGCGCGTTACTCGTGCCAATTCTAGTTACTGTCTTTGGCTATAGATAAGAGCTCTATATCACTAGCTGTCTTGCAGTTCTGCTAACAAGCATGAGTTCTATCGCCTTGCCTTGTTGCCACATTATGCAGGTCATCCTTCTAATCGGCATCTCCTGCTACGACGGCTACCAGGAGGTTGTCACGACGCAGCTCAAGCTTGGCTCAGTGCCTCCTTTTGCCTAGCGAGCTCTCGCTGCATCTCGGCCTCCACCAGGTGCACAAGATAATGGATGCTAGCATTGTCGAAGCAGCAGCAACAGCAGCAGCAAGTAGTAGTAGTAGTAGTAGTAGTAGTAATAGTAATCGCTTCCCTGAGACTAAATGACGTCGACGTCTCCCCCCCACCCCGGTAGTTAATATTATTGAAGAATCCCGTGCCAACAAACTATCTAATATCAAGGGGGGATATTTCTTGAAAGCATCAGATAGGGCTGGCTGCCTCTAACAGCCCTTTGAAACTCCTTGTACTTGAAACCTGATGAGAAGCGAATGGGAATCCACCTCACAATTAATTGAAACTGAATTACATTCTCACTAAAACCAACTGAAAACGAACCAAAATCCAACTAAAACCGGTTGAAATCGAACTAAGATCCAGTTGAAACCCATGGAAATCGAATTTAAATCCAACCGATTGAAATCAAAGTAATAACAAGCAATGAACGCCTTTTTGAAACCAACTTTAAAATCTATTTGAAATCGAATTTAAATCCATTGAGCACAAAACCGAATGACATCGAACAAAAAACCAACCAAAATCTATTTGAAATCGAATTTAAAAACCGTTTGAAATCGAATTTAAAGTCTGTTTGAAATCGGATTTAAACTCATGTAAACCAAATGGAACCTAAGCAAGACTCCATACAAAACCAATTGAAATCGAATGAAGTCGAATTAAAATCGTTAAAACAAATTTAAAATGGAATTAGAATAAATTGAGCTCCAATTAGATACAATTGAGATGCAATTACCATTCCAGAAAATACGGCTGAATAGGTACTAAAATCATTAATCCTTTTATATTTCCTGTATAAACCTGGAATATCAAGGGATTCCTAATAATGCTTTGCATTCTTATTTTACCCCCCTAATTCGTTATCGGGTGACCCTTTTTTCAGGCAGTCTTCCCCTTTCAGGATTTCTAGGCCCCTGAATGTACTCAATATAAGGGGGGTTCTAATATCACGGGGAAGGGATTAGTAGTAGCAGTAATAGCAGCCGCAGTAGCAGCAGCAGCCAGCGGGCTGTGATCGTGCTGGTGCTGGCGCTGGCGGTAGTGGTACTTGTCATTCAGTAGTTGCTGTTGATGCTTTTGCTGCTGCTGCTGTTGTTGCTGCTGTTGTGATTGTCATGATGATGGATCAGCAAATTATTCGAACAACGGGACAGTGTTGATGGACAAGCTACGAGTGACCCAGCCGATCATGATCCCGGAATGGGCCTGATCACAATACTACTAGGCAGGCGAAGTATGTGAATTCGCTGAAATAAGGCTCCCCTTCTAGCCTTATACAACAGCAAGCAGTAAGATATGGTAAGATACCTGCAATTCATAGCGCGAGCCTGCTTCTCAGCTGCACGCTTCTTATGCTCGTACCTTGCAGAAGGTCCGTCCAGGACAGTGCAGCTCTTGAAAAAATGTAGCTCTTCTATAAATGGACCTCTAGGGACCACAGGGGTATGGAGGGATTCGGAGCGGATGATTGGGGGTTCCTACTGAGGATGCTATAGGATAAATTTCCAACATCCTCTTAACAGCTGGTCCAACACGAATTGCACCTATAATGGCAAGAATCATTTCAAGAACAAAGTATATGGGACAAAGCTAACCGTGTTTTTGCCACAGCGTTGCACCAGAACCATTCCCTGTAGAGCGCCCAGTAGAGCAGGTCATTGACATTGCGCCCCCATACCAAGCACCAAGCAGTAGACCCAGGCTCAACAACTCAAGCAGGTCGCTGTGTCTGAGCAAACTCATCTGCAACGCGCTTCTGCTCGTACTCCAGGGTCGCTTGCGCCGCCTGAAAGACTCATGAAAACTCACATCTCTGCCGCCAGCCCGGGCACATGAACTGAACAAGTTTCAGAACATGTGTCTTATCGGGTTCTGCTACTGGTAAGACCAACTACTAAACCCACCGGTTCGCAACCGTTGGCCCGCTTCTGCTGCATTTCTGCTGCTTTTACATCACGGCAATGGGTACAACATAATGCAAGAACTCATCCTCATCCGCACTCACAGCACCATGCAGCGTTGTGCCAAGCTGAACCCAAACTGAGCCGCTTGACCATCCTCAACCGCGAGTCTTGTGCGCAGTAGACAGAAGATAGAACCCGTTTGTTTGTGCTCTCGCTGCCGGCCTGCTGATCGAGTGCTGCCTTCCTCTCAAAGGCTGCCTGCTGAAGCCCCATGAGCTGGTAGTTGGCCTGAGGACAGCACTGCATCGTGCTTGCAGCATGTGCGCATGAGCTCCACCCGCCCTCCCTCCACAGCCTGTGTGACCTTTCTGGTCATGTAGCACATTCAAAACACAATAACAGAAGCGAGAAATGTATATGCCGCAAAGCTCTCAAGTCTTGGGTAGATCCCAAGCGCTGCTGTGCGTGGCTTGCACCACTTTGTGCAGCCTGGCCTGCTGGTCGACGCTCATTTCCTGCGCCTTCAGCTGCTGATCCACCTGCCAACGATCACACAAAAACATGAGCGGCTCCTCCCCTCGCAAGGCTCTCTGAAACTGGCCTGCAAGAAGTACTGCTCCTTCTTCATCTCCGCTTCCTGCAACGCAAGTCTCATATCAGAGCCTTGACGTCCTGGAGACACTGCAAAGAAGCTGCTCACCCTACCACAATGGTGCCTGCCGGAGAGCTTGCTTCTTGACCTCGTTCTGCTGCTCGATCATCTTAATGCCCTGGCCAGGCAGAGAGGGATAGAGTCAGGAGCTTTTTCCTCGTCTCCTGCCTGCTCCAGTTGGGCATCCAAGCTTTTCTCGTAGGCATGCTTCTGCTGCTCCACGGCGTGTGGATCCGGAATCCTCAACTTCCCAGCATGCAGATTTATGTGGCAGGGCACTGCAAGCAAGTCTAAGACTGGTGCCCTTCAGTCAGCCGTGGTGGCTGCACTGGCGGCCCTGACCTCAGGCTGCTTCATAATTGCTCGAGATGACAAATATCAACATTGAACGATTGAGACATTAGTCGCTGACATGCAAATGCATCTTTAAGTCTACTTGGGTGCGGACGCTTGTTGTTGCGCGGACGGCATGCTTGGCAGCTGGCCGCTCAACTGGCCAGTTTGCCTTGGCACCATTACCCGTCTTTGCACATGTCATGTAATTTCTTTGGAGAGTCATGGAATTATGGACATCGCTAAATTACGGCTGATTTGGTTGTGGAACCTGTTGCCAACTTTCTATTCATCTGACTCCGTTACGTTCAGGTTAGTACATCCAGAGAAGTGGTCTAAGCTCTGCCTTGTGCTGGGAACCCTTCTGCCAAGACCTTTCCACAAATGTCCCCTCAGTTCTGGAGGAGTTCGCTCCAAGGCATAAAAATTGAAGGCCATCTTCAGCATGGCTGCAGTAGCGGCTGGGCAGTGGCTGATGGTGCAGCAGACGGTGCAGGCTGGTAGGAAACGGCGGGATACCTCAGCTGCATTGAAGTTGATATCTCGACCTTCTTCATAGACTCAGACTCAACTGCGAAGGCATCCTGCTATTGACGCCTACAGTATTCGCTCGCCCAATGGACATTCAGCACCAGCAGGAGTAAAGTCTGACAGTTACAGCTTCGCTTCTGGGTTGACTGCTCAGGTGCAGACGCTGGTTGTGGAGAGGACACAGTAATGCTGGGCAGCTGAGCAGCTTGCCTCAGCATCAGAATCCATCCCCTGATGCTGCACTCACGTGGCAAGCACTTTTCTGCATGGTCTTTGGAGTTCGAAGAGACTCGCATTTTTGTGGAGTCCTCGCTTAACTTTCAGCAAGTCGTTTCCTTTTTGTGCATCCCTGCTGTCCCTCCCTCCCATGGTCTCTTGCTCTCGCGGGCATTAATCAAGTTTCCTCGTGTTTCCAGGTTATCGGGGAGGGTTCCCCAACGTACGACACAGTTCGGCGTAGCATTGCACCTCTGGTGTGCACTCATCTGATTCAGCCCTCACATGCTTGAATGCGCCTGGTATCACTTCCGCATCGTCGCGCGGATTTCATGGCATGCCAAAACACGAGCTGTCTCAAGCCGCTGCCTTCTGGATATCGTAATTGATGCCGAAGTGCTAGCAATAGCATGCTGCAGCTGAATTTCTAAGCAGAAGCGCGCCTCCAAGTCTGAGCTGGTTACGCTTGAGGTGGGGCAGACGTCACGGTGATGGCTGGCACAGCCGATGGTTGCCTTGCATTGGGCGAAGCTCACATGAAGAGCGCAATGCCGCTGCCTCTACGCTTCAGCGGGATCGCGCTCTAAGCGCCCAGCGTGGAGGCTTGGTAGGTAGCTGGCTTGTAGGAGGCACTTGGGTACCTGACTCCGCTCTCGACTTAAAGCACATTTTGTGATCATAGCTGCGCAACTAAAGAAGGTCTAGATGACGAGGATTTTGCTTTCCTCAGAAGCTGATGTTTCATGCGCCTAGACAACTAACTTCCACAGTGACAGCAGGTCGTGCAAGCTTTGGTTAAGAGCTCTCGCTCGGAGTTTTTTGGCTTCAGGTGGAACGCCAGACATTTAATAAGATTACAAACCTGGCTACTGCCGCTGCTCTTCCACTGCGATGATGTTCCCACAAAGGCCCTCGCGGCATCCCTGTCGCCTGGTAAGTGATTGGCTGGCCCCTGTCACGAGACTGTGCTAGGAAGATCCATGCGAGTTCAGGCTGAAAGCAAACGGCAAGGACTGCCATGCTGCAGCAAGACTTGCAACTTCGGCTGAAGATATGCAGACGCAACATCGTGACATCACAGCAACACAAGACTTCTCTTTACCCATTCATCCTGATAAGTCTTGGTGCACAAAGCTACAACCCGTGCCGGTGCCGCGCAGTTGTAGACACAGCAGTCGTGGTGCATGGGGCCGCCTCTAAATGCTATGCTCGGCGTTGAAATTCTTATCTGGGTAGGGCCCAGAAAAAGCATCTCGTGCCTCGTGTTACCTTAATGTGCTTTGTCATGAAAGTTTTCTGAGGTCAGAGCGGCGTATGAAGCCGGAAGAGGGGATGCGGCATATTGAACAGCAGGGCTGCTCGTGATGGGATAGCTCGGGTAGCTGGTAGTGACGGTCCTCATTTCACATCATTTCACAGCAGGGTCACAATCTCTGGCGCAACACTTCGCATGATGAGCCTGTGTTTGCTTGATGCTACACGGGAGTAGTGGCGTTCGCAAGCAGGCAGAGTTGTTGAGCTGAGGCTCGTGTATGGACTCGTGCTGCCGTAGGGAACCGCCGTGATCGGGGCTGATGTTGTCACCGTCGCAGCCTGCAGCATCTCTGTGATAGGCAGCATGAGGAGCAGTTGCAGTTTGATGCCCACTGCAATGGCGCTCAGGGTTGCACGGGGGCTGTTGCAGCAATGAGCTGCGCGTACTCCTGGAATGAGACCAATCCAGCCGGCTCTTGTTTTTGACTTTTCGTGAGGCGTCCTCCGGCGAGATTACAGTATACCCCTCCGCCACCTCCTCAGCATAGGCAACTTCCAATCCTTCTTACTCTGCTTCCCTCAAACAGCATGTCTACGCGGCTCTTTTGGACACAAGCGCTGAGAAACGCACGCTCCCACCTTGGCACACCATCTGCAATCCCATGAAAGGACGTATGAATATTATAAATTGGGTCAACGCTCAGGGCGTGGCCGACCACGGTGCTGGCAGCCATTGCGGCAGGCTCTTTGCAAGAACACACGCGGAGCGCTGGGACGCAACTGGAGGCGGGATAAGCAGGGCCTGCCAACTTCCCTGTAGCACTGCTCCGTGCCAAGCTCCGTGCCAATTTGGATGTCCAGTGTTTGTTGGCCGTATGTCTGGTAATTTGTCGGAGAGAACGCAAGGAAAGTATTGCATGCCATGAAGAACTGCAACATCTGCGGAAGAGCTGTCTGAGCCTCTAAGAAATCGCGCGGCAGAACTGTAAGCATGAAGGCTGGCCCAACCAGAAATGAGCACCCCAAGTCTTTTTGCGTCCATGTGGTAGTTTGCAGGCCTCTGTGCTACCGGGGCATTGATTGCCGCACAGTCTACGTCAAAGATATGCCCCGAGGAGGCGGGCAGCAGTGACACAAAGCTTACACCTTCAAGGCTGCTATGACAACTGCCACCATTTAAGGTTGGAAGGGGCTTTGAAAGTGTTCTATCCCTCCGGAATCAACGTGTTCAATGCTGCCTCAGGCAGCAAGAGGCCGCAAAGCGGCCACTCGTACCTTGCCTCCTGCCAAGCCCAGATGGACTGGTCCATGAAAAAAACGCAGGGGAGAGTGCTTCCTGCAGGTTTAGGCCACGTTTGAAAGACTTGGCGGCCTCTGCTGGGAAACTCAGCCCGTGCGTTTCCAGAAAACAGGCATGTGCCATCCGAAAATGTCTTTTCTTTGCAATCCAGAGTGCCTTGTAGTGCCCTATGGCACCACGAAGATTATACAATTCAACTCGCTTCAAGACTGAAAACAAAGTGCAAGACCGGCCTTCAAGCGTAGTAAGTCTTAGGACATCTTAAGAACCAGGCCAGTCTTTCACAGCATCCTTGGAGCAGGGTCTATACTGACTGTACCCGCCTAAGAGCTAGACTCATTGCATCTTAATTTGAATGGGAATCATCAACAAACTTACTGAAGCTAGGAGGTGATTCGCTCACTCTTCCTCTACGGGCCCACTCCGTTGCCGCGGGGACCCTGACTTCCGAAAATCGAATATGCCCTCCAAAAAAATTCCCGGTGGATCAAACGTGCAGTATCAAACCAGTCTTATCCAACTTTGGCTCCCAAGACCAGCAAGCCCAGATTCTTTCCATAGACAGCTGAGTTTGAGTTGTTTCAGCAGTCCCCTGGCAAGGTGGCTCTCCAGCTGCCTCACTTGGACTCCTGCATGCAAACAGCACTTCACCAGCTCAGGCATGATGAGTTCGTGATGATCATAGCTTTGAAGTTTCGGCCCTGGTTGCAAAATTTAGTGTCCAGATCCTTCTGAATAAAGTGCCATAGTTGTGCTGACGGAAAGGACAAAGCGAACATTTCTGACGATAAGCGCCAGTGGGCCCGTAGCCAAGCCCTTGGGGTGGGAAGCTGGGAAGAAGAAGCCGTCCTCATCCCCTCCAGCCTTTGCTGCAGCTTTCGCTGCCAGTGCTTTGGCCTTCTCCTCCAGCCTCGAGACTGATGGAGTTCTGCACTCGCACACTACTGAAAAAGTAGACGTAGAACTGTTGCAGAAGCAAGGAGTGCGAACTAATGAAATTGGCAACTGCAGGAAATACTCTTGTCTCCACTTCAGGTCATGCTGGGGTCTCCCAGGAACTGAAGCTGCCACTTCTCAGCCAGCTTCTTCTTCTCCCGAATCTCAATCTGTCAAGGGGACACTTTAAGAATGCGCAGGAATCTGTCACACAAACCATGTACACTTTGGCTCACCTGTGAGAGTAGCGATGAAGGCTTCAAAATCAGAAGTACAGGAGCCATCAGCATGCTTAGATTATGAACATCTATGACTGCCTCGCGGATCATCTCCTCGGCCTTCTGCAGCTTCACCTGGTTTGCCCTGGCCAGAATGATGCGAGTAGCTTGTATGACATTGTTCGCATGAAGGGCTTGCCCGCCGTCTTCTTTTACACGCACGTACGAGTACAAGGCTTGATCTGACAAGTTGGCCAGCTCGGCTTGTAAGTTTCCAGGTCGGATGTGACCTTGGACCTGAATTAGCAACATGAGAGGAAAATCAATGCTCCGCAGTCTAGCAGCACATTCCAAGCAAGACCTCTCCGCAGAAGGATAGCTGTGCCGGCAACGTAGGCTCAATCTTCAGAGCCTTTGCCCACTCCTCTGCGTTAGCCTTGTTGACTTCCACACCACCTTAGAATTTTTCGATTGCAAGTTCGCCACTCACACACTCAGTTAGATCTGCCCGATCAACATACCTGAAGAAGTTTGTGCAAGCTACGCCCTCTCAGCCGGGAGACCAACAGTCCAAGAGCACGAAGGCTTAGATTGATTTGCTATGACTGGGCTTGCTGCTGTTAGTCTTTCCTGACTAGACAGACTGACCAGAGGCCATAGCTGAGCTCCATGATGCGAAACAAGCCGACGCTGTAGCTCATGCTGTAGAGCGAGGACCTGGCTTCACATCAAACATTCTTTTCAGCCTCTTGCCTGCAGGGTTGAGGAACGCTTCTGGTGTCAAGGGAAGCCAATCCCTCATAGCCACCCAAGCGTAGGAAAAGTAGCTCGGAATTCGTGAACTCATCATGTCACGCTGGGAGGTTTGAACTCCTAGCTCCGGGCTGGATCTGCTCGAAAGCGGTGCCGATCTTTGCATCGGGCGGCTTCGCGGAGCCCTTCAGGCATGAAACTTCGCAGGTCACGGCTCATCCATGGCACCACAAGATTCTGCCTCCATATGCTGCAGAATCTCAGCAGGTGAAGTCGAGCCTCAGTATCAAGCTGAACGTTTGGCGGGCTACCGCGGCAGCCATGTGCCAGACAGATGAACCACTTGCTTCCACCTCAGTCAATTTTGGGGCTATCGCTGCCATACTTGGCGGCAGCTTCTGCGTCAGCAATGACCTGTTGCTCAGAGACCCCATGCAAGCAGATTGGGACTGCACTGAGCAACGCAGCCATCAACATGTGAATGAGTCCCGAAGCACCTTTCTCAACTGTACAGCTCTGGACTGGCCATCATGAATAACATGAAAAGAAGCAGACCGCCATGTGTAACAATGTTGCAAAAGACCCTATACGCGCCTGATCCGGCTTCATTCCCATTGCGGTGGTCAACGCCTTCCAGATCTTCTCGGATTCTTCGCCTTGTCACTTTCATGACAGACTTCGGGCGTCTCCATGTGCCTTCTATGCTGCGCCTGTGCTTCTGATGGAATCTCCGTTTTCACGAGGCCACGACTCATGACCAGCTTGTCATAATTGCCCATGAGCCCAGTGTAGAAATGCCTCGCATCCGGCCGGTTGGGCTTGTGCTGACCCTGTTTCGGGAGTCCTTAAGCATGATAGCAAGAAAGGATTTGAAGATGCTGCCATGTTAAAAGCACAGCACCAGAGACTGCTTGCAACCCTCGCTTACCCTAAGGCTAGCTGTCAAGGGGAGCTAGTAGACAATGTCCACCCATCTGCGGTGTAACCCCGCAATCTCCACTGAAAACGTACGCCAGCGCCAGGCCTCATTCCGAGCGCAAAGACTGCGTCATACTTGAACCGCGAGTCCACCATGGTGAGGTGCTGAAGACAGGCTCGCAAGGAGTTCGTGAGCCATGCTATCATGACTTTCATGCGCCGTATATGGAGCACTGAGGGGTAGCATGCTGCGTCGCTTGCATCTTCAAAACGAGCTGCAAGGAATGTCTACATGCACTCTGCTATTGGAATTGCTGTGAGGGCTGGACGACTTGTGTGATGAAGTCGACCAGGAAACTCCTGTACCTAGGTTGGATATGGCGCCGCTCCTTCATATGAAAACAAATTGCAAGCACCTGCAGGGGCGCACTGACAGTCTTGAAAGTATTCTGTTTATGCCTAACCCTGTGGCGGCAGAAAAGATATTTCGAAGGCTTACTTGAAGCAGCCAAGGCTCATGGGGAGCACTGGCGGCTTTGGGTAGCCCTGGCACCGGCAGAGCAAGACAATGACAAAGACAAATGAAATGGATTGATGTGAACAACGAGAGGCAGACCTTTACTGGTGTGTTTAGAGTATTTATGCAGGGAATATAAGATGTGTCACGGTGCTGTGCCCATACGGGCAGTTGTTCGTTTTTGTGTTTGGGTATGGCGGCAAAATGGAAGCTGCTGGCACTGGAGCCATGCCTGCCCCATCGGCTCATCACGCAAAACCAAACCATGCCATGCCAGTGCCGGCCTTGTAGAACTCGTCAATGGTCTCGGACACCGTCTTCACCTTGGTTTCTTAAATGAGGGGATGGGTGCTGTGTCATGTGCTGCGAAGCCAGAGCTTCACATCATTTGCAGCAGGACAAGCGCCTGATTGCGCTGTGTTACAAGGTGACCCACTGTGATTGCATTCCACATTGCTCGGACTCCGACAGGGTTCTTGAGACTATCGACCACAGAGGCTTGCCGAACCGTCTTGTGCGGAGCCTGCTTCTTGAGAACATTAAGCCGCGCATGAAAGACGAGCATCAAAGAATTCAGATGTTCAAGCACCCTCCAGCCTGTTGTCCTGTGGGCATTGAACCGAGGAAAGAGAAACCTTCAGGCCATGCAGAGGGTGGATAAGGTCGTTCCAGAATACCGTTTTTGCAAGAAACAAGTACAAGAGACAAATGCATACAGAGTGCAGGCCAAGCCCAACAGACAGCTCTGCTGTACTTCATGAACGCCTTTCTGGAGTACAAGTGAATCTGGTGATGCCTTGCCAACTGCTTAGCAGCACAGCTGCCACCACTCCGGCCAACCTTACCGGTGACATGCTCGACCACAAATGGCAGTAAGCCGGAGCATCTTGGTGGTGAGGTGTGCAACTTGCGATTTCCAGGGTTCGCGCCAGGAAGGGCGACGTCGTCGCATGGAGGAGTTGGCGGCAGCTGGTTTGGCCCTGCACTTTTTGACCAGTCCGGCATGCACATCGTATTCTCAGATAGCAGCTGAACTACTGCTAACTGTGAAAAGTCTTAACACCTTAGCCCCGCGCCTGTACATCATGCTTGAGGCCTGACAAGGCAGATGCGCATGATCAAAGTGTGGCAGTGTAAGGCAGTCTGGGGCCAAAGCCAGGTTTTAATGTGGGCCGCTGGTTTGTCTCCCCGAGCTGTGAGCGCCAAACACAAGCGGCAAAGGGGCGATCGTGCTTGATAAGCAAACGTCAAGTCCCGCTCGCTACCAGCTTACCAGTTTGGAATCTTCCTTCGATAATGCGAGGTGAGCCAGGTCGCCCCAAGCCCTAATGAGTTGCAGGCTCTCAACCAGACAAGGAAGGCGGTCTATTGCGGGACAGCATCGGGCTCCACATTGAATCCTAATAGAAGTGTTGATCTAATCAAGCTTCCGAGCCACTCTCGCACGCAGACTTACCTAAATTTGGGCCCAATTGAGGGACCCCTTCCTTTTGTTGGGAACCCTACATCAACTAGAAATCCAGATTGCCGTTCAGCCATGGATTTGAACTAGAATCAAAGCGTAATGCTGGTGCCCGGACTTCTCTGAGTTCCTCGAAAAACCTTCTTTTCTTTGCGTCATTGGGCTGCGTCTTCGCCCTCACCTGGCAGGGGAGGTTTAGCATTTGATGCTTGTTCACAGTCTTTCTGTTAAGCCTCCTCCTCGCAGGGTAAGGCTCTGCAGGAATAGCAGATTCCCATCCAACATAGTGACGTTTAAGGCTGTATTTTGACAACTGGGATGGTCGAAAGCAAGTTGTTCCAGTGCCATAAGCAAGTACGGCATGCAACCTTGCAGTGATAAGAGGATGCTTGCCATCGAAACGCACCAGCAGCAAAAAGACAATAAGCTCGGTCTGCTGACCGTGTCAAGGACAAAAAATCCTGCTGGTGATGATGCGTGTTCTGCTCTCTGGATGGTTGCTTGCGAAGCAGCTGTCCATGCACACGTAATTGCCACATAGCCAAGTGGCAAAATCAAATCCTGGAATTCACGCATCTATGCACATCCTGATTTTGGGTTGCAAGATCTGTGGGCCTTCGAGTGGGCATTGGGACGACATCCAACGATACTGCAGTTGGAGGGTCACTACTGGTGCTGCAAACACGACTACTGCGGATAGTATCATACCATTCTGACTAGAGTGCCGGCTGTGGTTAAGAAAACATTGGGTATCCGTAAATGTGTCAGAAAATCAAAGCGGATGTTCTTAACACTATCTCTAATTACATGGATTTGGGCCACTCCCAGCCCCAATGCTTCAATTCCATCCCCAAACATAGCTACGAAAATGAATCTTGATTTTATTAACGCCAATTTCCACTAGATTTCCCCCCCCTCCCCATCTGAAGATGTCGCACCTGTTCCTGCAAATTCTGCTGCATGCTAAGAAAATGAGTGGGCACCGGGGCACTGGGTTCTGAGGGCCACATTCTCAGAGCAAGCTAAGAAAATGAGTGACCTCTGAGCTCAATGACTTGTCTTCTTACCCAAAGATCGCACTGTAATACTCGGACGAAACTTTTCGTGAAGGTTCTCTTCAGGAAATCCAGCATCATGGCTTTCGGGCCTCCCAGTTCCTCCTCAGCTGTTCTTGCCTCTTCCTCAAGCTTCGCCTGTTGCGAAGCAAGGTGAACAGAGCTGTCAGAGAACTGCCTTCAACATCAGTTTCAGTGCAGCGCGTGTGTTGCTTGCAGCACTTTGCGCAGGATTCGAGTTCAATCCTTCATCTGGACTTGGCGCTTCTGCTTGCGGATTGGCAGGTGCTGAGGGTAATCTCTGAGCGCTGGAAGTGACGGATTGATGTTGTGGGAAGGGAATGTCTGTGTCACTTGGTCCAGCAAGTAATTATTACTAGAGCTCCTGCGGCGTGCCGTGCCTTGTCCTCCGCTGTTGGATTTACTCGAATGAGCTTGTTGCAGCCAGCAACGAGGTCCTGGCAGTCACCAACAAATTTGGTCGACAAGAAGCCACGGCAGACTGTCAAGTTGCGGAAGGTGAGCGGCTGCATGGCTCTTCGTTAGCATGCGACTTCAGCCAAGCCCAACCTGCCTCATTGCTTAATAGTACTTCAATGAGTGTGGGCAAATTCCCTGCAAACAGTCCCTCAGTTGACTGGTAGAGAGCTTACCATTCGAACCCAGAATAGGATCTCTTTGAGGGCTCCAAGTTCCGCACTGCAAGGTTCACCAGCAACACACTACGATCCCCAAGAGCAACACGTGACAAAGCCACGGTACGGTTGATGCGGCCCTGGCGTTTGAGCCAGGTTGCGACCGCCTGCATCTCCTGCAAAGCGCAAAGTGTGCCGTGACAGCTACAAATCTTGATACTCATAAGTTGTGGCTCGCTGATTGCCCTGAGTAGGCTGACTAGTTAGTGCCGGCCCTGGCGTTATCATCAATGACACAGCGACATGCAGGCAGTGAAATGCACAGAAGAGCTCCAAGTCACACCTCAGCCGTGATGTAGATGTATTTGCCCCTATCATCGAAGATGCCGCTTAGCCGACCTCAAATCATAAGAATCTGAGGATGATTTTGCTAACTCTCCTCATGATTCTCCAGCAAGTTCAAGTCACTGTTCAATTGACGTCCAACAGCGTTTGAAAAATGAAGCCTGCTATGCCGCTTCTATGGCTCAAGTTTCTTAACTTCCACACCTCCTGTGCCTAGCCTATAGATTTCTCGCATCGAGCTGGATCTGCTGAGGCTTTGCACCCATCTTTTCCAGCTCTTCCAGCCTTGCTGCTAGGCTAAGCGAGCTTCAAAAGGTTGCTTTGCAGGCAAAGCCTGTGCCCATAACGCACGTGACTGAATGATTCAATGATAGTATTTGATGAGCCATGCAGCCTGTCAGACCATCTGGCATGACAATATCAGGCTAGGTCTTCAAGCAACTGCCGCTAGCAGCCGCTAGCAGTTGGGAGCTTGCTCTGCAACAAGAGTGGCAAAGCACTTGAAGACTTGCCATTTCTTTCCTGAAGCGGTCATCTTTTCAGTCTAGTACAGGGCATAGTGGTCACCGTGCTGGTGCTGTTATGCGTTGAGGGGGGCCTACGCATGCACCTTTGTTTGGAACACTCCTACTTGAAGCCTTTGAGGTCTTGGTACGTAATTCCAGCACATTCGGGAATGAGCTTGCCTAGGACGGTGGGAGCACTCTTGGCGTCGATCTCGCTCGATGCGGGCTTCGACGACGTCAGCAAGCTTGTGGTTCTTGTGTTGCTTAGAGCCTGCGGAGTTAGGGAGGATGTCTTTCTCGAACTTTTGGCTACAGCGGTTGTCAGCGTTGTTGTTGCGAACCAGCTTTCCGCAGCTAGTTTTCGCGTGTCTGGTTGGTTCTTGCCCTCACGCATCTCCTCTGCCTTGTGATCTTTCTTTTCCCATGCTTGTCCTGCTTCCAAATTTCTCTGCTGAGCTTCGCTGCGGACAACGTCTTGTGTGGACTTCCCAATGCTCAGGCATTGCTCAGGCATCTCTGAAAACACCAGTGGCTGCACTCACAGCTGTGCCGCCAAGTCACCGCTTGATGGCGGAGACGGTCCGAAGGCGAAATTCAGCAGCAAGGTCCTGTCAGGGGTCTGTCCAGCCCTGTCGCCAACATGCGCATCCCTGCAAGCAGGCCTCCAAACTCACTACTTTCCGCAGCTTCACGTAATCAATGAACCTTGCTGAAGACAAACATGGAAGGCAGCTCGGCGAAAAAGCCCCTGTCTTGTCTGCAGCTTTGAGTGCTGTTCCAGCACGGCAGTGGTAAGGTCAATTCACAGGGGCATGAGGCCGTGCACATCCAAAAGGAAATTCTTGCATCAAAGGCACTTCTCCGCCTTGGCATCAAGGCTCCATGTCTTATGGATTGGAGTTCCCGAAATCATTGTCGCGATTTCGGGGTCCATAAGTGAAGAGGTTTAAGAAACACACAAACACAAAAACAGAGTTGGAACAGATGAGAAATTGGCGCAGGCTCTCACTCTGAGTCTCTGACTGACTCGCCAGCCCAATTAGCATCGTCCTGCAGTGCAGGACTGGTTGCTGTCATACCAGCAGATGCCGGAAGCTTCTTGTGATTTTCTAGGTTGGGAAAACAGGTGCTGAGCATCCCTGGTGACTTGTCCTCTCCCTCTCCCTCCACAGCAAACATCTCCTTCCACCTGCCAGCAAAGAAGATCATTCTTGAAACTGAAGCTTGACAGTGCTTGTTTTCTTGTAGGGTAGTGTTATGAACCTTGGCTTTGGTCAATCTCGGCCACACAAATCCATGGCAGCATCCGCAGCAATCTTCAACTTACATGCAGTGGGCGCACTTGTTGAATTCTTCCTGCTCCTGCTTCTCCTTTTCTTTCCTTGCCTGTCATCTGCTGTGGCTAAAACTGCCTGCGCAGCACTGGCTCCTCCTCACCCGTCCTGCAGCCACTGCTCATCCTCGGCTTCGCGTCGCAACCGGTCAGATTCGCGCTCTTGTTGCCTCTGGTAATACCTGGAAGGTTCTCAAGGCAGGCGTAATTGCTTGTACAATTGTGATTCCGCATACGGCCGCACTTTGCGTTCTTGTCCTGCTTCTGCTGCTGTGCCTGCCAGCATCATCTGAACAGCGGGATGCAGAAGCCCAAGAACCAAAATTTCACGTGTGTCTCCATCATGTATCAATAATGTCCATGAGGCCTCTCGTTCGGCTTGCTGCTGTGCTTTTCTCTCCTCTGGCAAAACAGTTCAGATCTCCAGGCAAAACTGCACAAAAAATCAGTAAGCCCAACCGTGCCCCTGAAAGTCAGATGAGCCTGCTTCTTCTGCTCTTTGGCAGCATTTTTCTTGTTGCCAGCTTGATTTTCTGGCTCTTCCTGAGATTTGATAGTGCATTGAGACCTTGTTTATTGGAGCTCAGCCGCAAGCGTCTACCCTGCGCTGAAACCCCAAACCTTTGCGATACCTACCAGTAGGTTTCCAGTCTTCTGCTTCTTAAAGCTTGCAGGATTTGCTGTGGCTGCCTAGGCCGCGAGGCTCATGCAGTTGCTGAAGTAATGGTTTTCCTGCTTGACATCATTTCTCCGCGTTGCCGCCTGTATCGGACTGGGTATGGCACGTCAGCTGGAGCTTCCCCACTACCAGCGGCACGTGCTGCACCTGACACTCCAGTGAGCGCTGATCCTTCCTGCTTCAAGGATGCCGCTGGCAGAGTAGGGTTAAACCTTCTACTTGGTGATTTGAGTTCACGCATTTTGCTGACCGAGACACCGCGCTGCATGCGGTCCAGAGCACCCCGCCGCCTCTCACCGACTGCAGATGCTGGAAGTCTGAATGCCAAATGCAACGCAGGATGGCGACAATCGTCACGTTCTCACGTAGCAGACTGCAACGATGCCACAAATCAGATGAGGATCAGCTGTAAGGGAATGGCAGGACTATGACTCCAAGACAGGAGGTTTAGTGAGGCAGCCGCTCAAAGTGATAGCGCTGAAGTCATGATTGCAAAAAGAGCGGTGCAGCAAGCGGCCTCTGACCTCCAGCAGCTTGCCTAGCTGACAATGCAAGCTCGGCGTGGGTTCAAGAAGCTAACCACTTGTCCAAGGTCTCTGCTGTTGCTGCAGCTCCTTCTGCTGCTTCTCCTCCTTGTCATGCACGCACACCAAATGTAGTAGCTACGTTGTAGCTACTGCTGCCGAGGTAAGGTGAAGATAAAACATATGTAAGCATTCATTGCCTGATCACAGGGCTGAGCACTTGGGCTTATTGGGCTGTTGAAGCTGTAGACATCTGATCCAGAGAAGAAATGGCCTCCTCGGCAGCTGTCTTCGCACGAAGCGCGAAAAAGGCAAACCTTGATAGGTCAGCAGTCCTATGCCCTCCTGAGCCTCATGCGATTCATAGCTTCACGCCAGAAAGGGATACGATACACCCGAAACATGGACCGGACAGCAACCTAAGCCAGGCCGTGCTCCAACTTCAACTAGCAGAGGTCCCCGGCAGCCCCAGGACACCGAAGAGGAAAGCCACACTAAGCGCGGCAAGTCCAACATTTCCTCCCCCTGGGTAGGGCGTAGCGGAAGAACAATTTAAGAGAACATAGCACGAGCCGCGCATGCCAAGGAAACCATTTGCCTTGCTCTGCCATGATGCCGGATAGCTGGATGGCAGGGACAACTAATGCTCCTAGCAAACCTTGCTGGACAAGTGGAGTTTGGTGACCAGGAGTTCAGGCTCTGCTGCTTCAAGACCACGTGATGTACATTAGTTGATGTAAACAGGTCTTACTTCCTTTGGAAAGTGAGACGTAAAGACACTCGTTAAACCTCGTCAGATCTTCTACAGTTGGGGGAACTTGGTGCGTTGCTGCTGGCGGGCTTGCCTCAATGTTAGTGCTGCATGTGCAACCGAGTTCTCTCGGATGTGAAGCTGTAGAGAGCAATTTCCATGAGTTTGAGCAGAGGGCAGAAACATCCGCAGGCCAAGATTCCGTGCATCACCAAGCCCTGTATTTTTTTGGCTGCAGCGTGCATGCCTCCACTTTAGGCATCGAATTCATGGTTCCGGGCTACCTGCCACCTCGTGAAACCTGACAGCATGCATGCTGTGTTCTCATGTCCACAGTCTACAGCTCTGAGTGTTTCTTGTCTTCGTTATCTGCACCTTCCACACAAGTTCATAGTGAATTCTGCATGCCCTTGAGCTGTGTGAGGAACACCCCATGCTGTCCGGCAGCTTCCCTCGCAGCAACCTCAGCCACATAAGGGCCAAACATGAAGAACACAATCAACCACTGATCCTACCCCATGCTTTCGTACTGCGGCTTGCGGCAGCAAATCAGCAGATCCGAGCCCCATGCTCAAACCTCCACCGTCGCGGGAGCCTGTGCCGACAACACAAACCTGGATCTATTGTGTCTTGATTTGCCTTCGCAATTCTCATACTGACAAAAGGTGTGAGGAACACACGATTCAGACAACATGTACTCCCTGCATTGAGATCCCCTGCTGCACGAAAGGGCAGACCAGCTGCGCAGCTCCACCGCAGGCACACTGCAACATGGGCGAACCGTCATGGCTGTTATGAGACTCCGAATCCCCGAATTGGTCAACATGCCACTGAAGAGTTACATCCTCCGCCTAACCACCAAGGGAAGCTCTGCCGTGCCCGGCCTTTGTCTCGCTGGGCTTCGCTGCTCCTGAAGTTCATCAATTCTGTGCTGATGTGTTCAGATTTTGTGGCGTATAACTCAAGAGTTGCTTTTCACTTGTCCCTGTCCATATCGCATGCTACTGTTGCAGCCAGGTCAGCATTGCTCCTGCTTTAGAAAATGGGACCATCCGTCAGAAGCAGATACCAAAGCCAAAGAAACAGGGCCAAGACATGCTTCAGACAAGTAACTACAGAAAGATGCAACAGTTTTTGAGAAACAACAACAGAACTGATGGCTAAACAACCTGAGATCCCTGGACAAAAAGGCTAGAGATGCCGGGGAACCAACTACAATCAAACTTGCCCATGGGACGCCGGTGTACTGGATGGAATCTCTACCTTACGTGGCCATGCCCGAACAGCCATAGACGTGGCCGGCGCTCCTGTGTCCGTCTTGCTGGCTGGAGGCTCGGCCTCCAACTGATTTTTGAACTTCCTCTTAGTAGCATGCTGACAAGATAGCACCACTACAACCAGCATTTTTCTGTAAAAAGCTCTGCCTGACTGCCTTCTTCTTCTACTGGCCATGCGAGCCCTCAGCGAACGCCAGGGGGGGTTACACACGCCCTGGCCGCGAACTGTCTCAGGCGTCCGGTCACCCCTGCGAGGAACGGAGTACCCACAATCTCCCATCCACCCTTCTCCCACAGGCAGGCCTGTCTGTCTCTCTTCTGTTTTGTTCTTCTTGTTCTTCTTCTTCAGGCTGCGTGGATGTCGACGTCCTTGCTTTCTCTCTTCCTCTTTGTCAAGAGCTCGGCACCTTTGGCCTCTCGTCTCTCTTCTCTGTTCTTCTGCTGCTTTTATGCCTTGCTAATGGGGAGACGTCGCGGCCATGCAACACGCCCGGAGTCTGCACGAGATCTGGTCGGCACCGGCGAGCTTTCGCGATCTTATCACTGTCTCTGTCGCCACAAGGTAATTCAGACCCCCATACTTCCAGCGACAAAGATGCATGTCTGTCCAGGCCACTTGTCAGCAATACAGTGGTGATATGCTGGGCACCAATTCCTTTACAGTATGAAACTAGCAATGAAAGCTTGCCTGGACTCCTAACCATACGGATGCATGCAGGGAGAGCGGTTTGACAAGATGGCAGCCCATTCAAGAATCTGCGAGTTCACATCCTATTTACATCACAGGCTCTGGACACCTGCTGATTAAATAGTGAGGCCAACTTTCCCAACACCCCTCGAGTACCTCTCGAAGACAGGCCTTTGAGTCCTTGGGTTCCGCCTTTCCAAAGAGGGGCATCATGGCGTCCTCCGGTCGACTGGGGCCTGCGGCTCTCAACAGCTCTGCCATACCGTTCTTTGCACTGGGTCGCTGCAGGTGGCCCACTACGGCATCCAAACAAGCAATCATTGGCTTCTGGAGAATGCTACTCCGTGCAAATCTGGGTGGCCTCCACCTTTTTGACTCTAGCTGCTGTCATAGGATGCATGGGAGCGTGTGGCGATCACATTCAAACAAGCAGCTGGTGGGTTGAAAGTGCTACATCCGTTACAAGCAGGCCATGTCTATGTCCTGCAGGCCAAACCAAGCCTGAAGCCCTCGGTTGGAAGTCCGACAAAATCAGAGAAGAGTAGCCGTGAGCACTAACGAAAGGGCTTTCCCATGCTGCGAATCAGGAGTTGACCTGCATGCGGCATGAGACCTACAAGAAGTGCCTTCGGCAGCAGGGCCCGACGAGCCTGTCAAGATCCACTGCGACATCACGTCTGCATGGAGCCAAGTTGCCGTGACCGCGAAATCCGATCATCAATCGCACAATCCCGAAAACATCTGAGTTTTCTATTGCCAGATATGGCCTCCGGACTGGAAAAGCTGCTTCGTCCTGCAAGATGGGTCTCATACTGGCGCATTCCAGTCTCTCTGTGCATTAGCCCGCAAGACTTTGCAGCGTATAGAGAGCTCAAGCTGCCAGACCCTGCATCTGGTCCTCTCTGGGCCTATGAGCTCCTTGAGTCCATCGGCCTTTGCACAGCAAATTCTTCTCTTCTTCCTAGAGAGTCTCCTCACTTTGGTCCTAAAAAGAGCAGCCGCCATCAGAAGAACCCGTACGAGGCAGAAGCTTCACTTCTGACCTTCTCCTGGATCTTATTGTAAGCCTTTCCAGGCGAGATACTCCAGAGCGTAACACCGAGCGTAACTGTGCGAGCCTGCTTGAGCTGCTGGCTTTCCAAGGTCTTCACAGCTACCTGCGCTTTGAGAGACCTGCAATTGCAGCAACTGCAACCCAGTAGCCAACGACCCAACAACTTCTTAACGACATGGGAGCAGTGAGGTCGCTCAAGTAGAGGTGCGGACCGGGAAAGAAGTCTCTCTGGAAAACTCAGGGGATGGGCGAGTCTGGAAGAACGAAGGAAACACGAGTTGGGCGGCACAAGGAGGTAGGAGTCGGGAAAATGAAGGGCAAGTCAAGAAGAGAACCCCGCACGCCCATGATCTCCCAGCACCATGCCATGGTAGCAGACCTACCCTGGAGTGGAGTCGGAGTCTGGTAGTCATTGTGGGTTGAGCTGCGCCGAAGGTGTCTGAACTTATGTACTTGGACACTGGGGGTGTATGCTGACTTTGCGCAAGACATGCAGGTGCATTTTTGGAGTGACTTTTCTGGACTTTGCCAAGTCAGGATCATGGAGAACGATCAAATTCATCCAGGGCTGCCGGGCTTTACAATTGAACGTCTGAAAATGTTGAAATCATGTGAGTGGTCTTGAAGCTCCTAGAGATACGTAGGGCTTGTGAGAGCTTATCATCCAGGATCGTGTGGCTCTAACATTGCAGCACCGGCACTGGGCGGGGTGCACTGGGATACCACCACGACTCTGGTGCTTTTTGCGAATGCCTCCTTGCTTGCACAGCTTTGCAATGCTTCGCAGCTCGTGCAATAGCTGGAGTGGGCTGCCAGTGACTCTCGACAGGTCTGGGCTTTGGTGCTTCTTGAGGATTGTTTACATTTTTTGCGATAACGTTTGAAAGGCAACTCGTGCTGTTCCTGATGACCTTCGTGGTGGTCGTTGGCATTCGCTTACGTATAGATGATAATTTTACAAACCTGATGTACTTTTTTGCTTGGGCTGGTTGTCGAGGTCCGCCTGCGAACTCATGGACAAGTCTTGTTTTTGAGGCAGGTCTGCCAAGTCTGACCTGTGGACTTGTGCTATTCTTTTTACTGACTCGTGGGTCTCTCGTTCCTTACTGGTGCTCTCTCTCCATTTTCTGAACTCATTTTCCTGACTCGTGCCTGTCTTTGCGCATTGTGCAGGTTGCGTGAAAGTCTGTAGCATCAAATTTTGCTCATTGACATGACTTGTTTGGGAAAAAACATGTGCCCAGTCCGCTGCGCACGCTCTGAGTGCCTCCAGGATTGCCATCTCTCTCGAATCTCGAACCAAGCACACCGACAGTTGCCTTGCCAGATCGGGCTTTGGCTGCAGGATGAACATCTTGCCCACCTTGCTGCGCAATCGAGAAGTGGCTGCTCAAATCAGCTTGTCATAGCATTGCTCGAGTCTCGTCAGGCCTGTCTGTAGACTTTCAAGTCTTCGGGCATGGGCTGCAGCTCCTGACAGTGTCTCGTCAGAATCCATTGGGTGGTCGCGGCTGGGCCAAAGAAACCTAGGTCTAAAGAAGATGAAACTTTTTTCGCGATGCTCTCCAGGCCTTTTCAGTCAGCTCAGCTCTTTTGGCTTCCATCATGCAATGCTTGATCTTCCCCTGGCACATAACGAGGGCAAGCCGACAAGCCTCAACGCTCCATGTTTCAACTCTACCTTCCAATTCAAAGCCTCCACTTGCTTCATCTCAGCGGAGAGCACCTCAGGTGGACTACGTTCACTAGCCCCATTAGAGTCGAGAGAGGCTGATTGATCTACAATCATTTTGCAACGCCAGCTAGTCTTGATTTGTGCTTCGCATGCCAAGTTGAGAAACATCCTCGGATTGCTGGAGGGCAGAATGGCCTTTCTCATCGTAGCTCGAAACCACAGACCAAGGAATGCAGGGCATGGAAAATTGTGATAGAGTTTGGGTGGTTCCTCCTGTAGCTATGCCGCAGGTATGCATGGACTATGACGGAACAGTCTTGCTGATTGGAAGTTGCGCCCTCTGCATAAAAGAGTGGGCCTGCAACAGACAGGGTTCTCCCAGGTACGCCACACTGACACGGCAGAATGGTTCCTATAAATCTGAGACCATTTCAGCAATGATTAGCTTCTTATGAATAGCAGCAGCAATAACGATCAATATAATAATGCCGAGTTAGTCAGAGTCAGAGTACTGGTACAGTTATAACTGCTATGATTAGTATACATTCTTTTTCCTCGTGCCAGTACTCCTCCTGCTCCTCCTCGTGCTCCTGCTACAACTATGATGATGACGACCACCATCACCACAACTCCACAGCACTGTCAGTGGAACCACATCCCCAACACCCCAACCCAGTATAATGACTGGGTAGCAAAACCATCAAACACATATCAATATATGTCTACACATAATGTATAATCAAATGTATACATATATTACGTATACAGAGCTTTCTTTCTTTCTTTCGTGCGGGCTATGGAGGAGGGCAGTTGCCCCCCTCCGGGCTTCAATGCCCAGCCCGTGTTGGGCTGTTTGTTTGGACTCTAACCCCTCATACGGTTAGGTTGTGACCCGATTGTTAAGGACTGCAGCATATACAGAGCTCTTCTTCTTCTTCTCACTGCTCTACCCCTCCCCAGGGGAGGGGCTGGGGCAATGCTGGGCTTTCTTTCTTTCTTTCGTTCGGGCTATGGGAGCAGGGTGAACCTGCCCCCGGGCTTCGCTGCCCAGCCCGTGTTGGGCTGATATGATTGTTTACCCCTCTTGGTTTCCGTGGGGGCACTGCCAATGCACACAGGTACGTTGGGGACCAAGCAAACGTCTTGCATTCGGAGTTTCGAGTGGGCGGCAACCTCCACTAGAGCAATGCTGGGCTCTCTCTCTCTCTCTCTCTATCCCTCCCTCTGTCTGACAGGAGAGTCTGATACCTCTTCATTACCATTCACCATGCAGCTTGTGGAGATGTCAGCACGGTTCGCTCTGCTTGCTGCCCCGTTACATGCAGTCGCTCCTCGACTTCCTTGACCTGGCAAGACCAATGACGAAAGAGCAGATGCAAAAGCCATCGACTGGCACTTGTGCTTGTGTTGCTTTGCCGATCACAGACCTCTGATCCGTGGCTTTTAAGGAGCAGTCGGGGTGGGATATTGTCCGTAACAGTCAAGCTTGAAAACGCGGGCCCAGAAGGTCTGCAGTTTCAGCAGTGCAGACCTCGAACACCCTCTCGCACTAAGCAAAGCCAAGGCGAGGATTCCACACCTGGCCCGCAACCTCGGCGTCGAACGCCTGCATTGCATGGGCTGGGCCTCTGAGATTGAGGCTTCAATTATTTCTGAATCTCAGAAAGCTCCTATTGACCGTCGCCAAATACACGTCTGCTTTCAACAAGCGAGAGCGAAAACACCATGTTGGCAAAGGATGTACTGCATCTTGTTCAGAAACACATAGAGAGCCGGCATTCCTCGTTGTCTTTGCTCCGCTTGTGGGCCTGCGATGATTTGCAAAACCTTCCCCACCGCTGACCCTTCTTGTCCAGGCGTGGCCGGGCCTTGTCTTTCTTGGGCTTTGCATTGCCCTTGTTCTTGCCCATCACCTCTGACGGAAGCTCACTTAGCCACGCCAGGGCATGGGCTGATGGAGCAATGGCCCCCGGCGAAGCGAGGCAGAAGGATCACGCAGGAAGATGATCGATGAACTACGTCGGGATGCAGTCTGAAGAAATGTGACAAATATGCTTCAGGGGGTCAGGGGTCGCACATCGTCTTCTCGTTTTTCTCTTTTGGCTGCTCAGTCAGGTAATTCTGTGGGAACCAAACATGTCTGGACTCAAACAAGGCTTCAGAACCTTGAGGAAAGGCTTCGGGACTCAAAGGTTGAGACCTTCTCTGCTGATTTACGCCTTTTGGCCTCAACCATCAAGCAGGATACGTGCCCCCTTGAGGAGCATAAGAATGTCTGCTTTGGCCTTTGCGGACTGTCTTCTGCGTGTTTGCCTCTGCTCTGTACTGAAGTTGTAAGAATCCAGAGAATGCATTCCTTTCAGAAATCCTGCCTGCATCATGAATTGAAGCGGCCGCTTTTGTCACACACAGTTCCCGGTCAGGCGCTTGCAAGAATCGTCTAGTGAGGATGCTGCATCCATCAGCCAAGCCTAAAATATTGACTAGAAACCAGAACCAGATTAGGTAGTGATTGTCTTGAGAAACTATTCCATCCGCCCAGATCCCCAGGGTGGCCCAGCATGCAACAGGCAGCAGCCCATCGATGCGAGGGCGAGGGCTCCCTGAGGTGACGGGGCGAAGCGTGGGCCATGCATGAAAAACTGCAAAAGCGGCCTCCCTGCAGCTGAAAAACTGATAACATCTATTCTTCCTACTCAGTCCTACTCCGGAATCCTTTGACCTGCTTGCAGTTGGCACCGTCCATGTCCGAGCCTGCAAAGTTGGTATTGAAAATAATTCTGGGTGAAACACCAAAGGGTCAGTTGATGAATTGGGGTGCAACATGCCTTGCAAAAACGCAGATGGCGCCAAAGGGTTGGAAAGCTTTTTTCTTCCGGCTGGAGTGGTATGGCTGTGTGACTGACAGTGCAGACCAAATCTGTTTCCACCCTTCGGCTTCTGCACTATTAACACACCAGATCACATTGCGGTTCTTTCCCAATCTGAACCGTTGCGCTCGCGCATGCCCCCAAACTCAGTTGTCTATTTGACATGCAGCTGAGGACAATGACGCAGAATTGCGTTGGCGAGCCTGTCAATTCTGCATGCTGCATACGAGTTGGCTGCCTCTGCTTCTGGCAGTGAGTTGTTGTAGCTGCTCTGTTTTTGCACTAAGCTGAGGCGAGCCTGTCTGGTCACAAGGGCAGTGCTGAGAAATGAGGATGCTTATTCAAAAAATTAGAATCTCTGTCTTTCAGTAACCTTTATGGCCAAGGCAGCTTCTGCCGGTGTTCGGCAGCCAAAGAGGCCTCTGCTTGACAACAAGCTGCCTGCCCTTCTCCTGTTTTGATACAACTGGCCTTACGTGGCCGAGTCGATCCGGAAGCTGCCTGCACAGGACCTCCAGATGACATCAAGAGCCTTTCAACTGCAGAATATCTCTGCCTAGCAAATTAGGCGGGGTCTTCACTGGAGGTCAAAAAGTAGAAACGCTGACAGTGCTTGAAAGACACTGTAAAGTCTGCCGCGCTTGACAGGCTGAGTTGGTCCTTCCACTTTCGTTTCTGTCTCACAGCCATCAAGCAGGCAAAAAACCGCTTACTTCACGCTCAGAGTCACTCAAGCAGCTCGGCCTCAGTCCAGGAGAACCAAGGTCTTCAGTTCGACTTCATGTGAAGAGAAGCTTAGGTCAACAGCCACGCTTCAAAGCCTCGCACACTTTCTAGATCATCCCAGGTTCTCGTATCGGAGTGCTTGCTGACCCCACGCCCCTATCCCGCTCCAGGACATGCATTGAGGCGGGGTTACGGGGATGATATATTCAGTCTTCATAACGTTTTCCCCTGTCGCACTTGCGGGTGTGCGTCCTGAAGTTTACTGCGGAGATGAGGATTCGCACCAAAAGCCGCTGGGTTCCGGGCGCTTTCATCGGCATCCATGCAGGGGCTGAGGCACTCAGGTGCCAGCACACCGAAAGGAGCACGGTTCTGCCGGGAGTCTTCCATCAGAAGCAGCTGTAGAGGCTGAGGTGTCTGAACCTGACGCCCGCTGTACATCCAAATACTTCAGCATCCTCTGTTTCAAGAGAACTCTGTTGCGACTTCATGGGCAAGTCTTGCAGCATAAGGGCTTGCAATCCAAAATCCTTGGTAGCCATAGTATTTGCAATAGCTTACAAAACCCTCAGAAGGTGGGGCAAGTATTTTACGACTACAGCGGCTACAGCGGCTACGGTGCAGCTACGGACGGGCATATTTCGAGAGTGGCCTCTGGACTGGAGCTGTTGTCCAGACTGAGGACCTCAGCCGCCTCGGCATCTTGGCGTTAGCACCATTTACATCCATTTTCAGGTGATGCTCCTGTTTGCAGATCTCTGGAAATATTGACCAAACCAAACAAAGACCTGCATCAAATGCCGCCGCAAGCTCATCATCAAGTTGTGGGCTGATAGCGGAAATTGCAGCATCCTTCGTTGAGATGCCACCTTGAGAAGTCTGTTCTCTCCCTGAGAGATTTGAAGCGCCGGCTGCGGCGCAACTCCTCCTCCTTTCATCCCCACTGATGTGAGCTCGACCCTTGACTGCCCAGCATATGGAAGATAAGTCAGAAAGACCAAGTACTTCCAACCCCACCACTGAGGCCCCTACGTGTTGCGATGGATGACGTTTCTTACTTCTGCCTGTGGCCTTCGCGCCATGTCAATGTCCAATGCAGCACACAAAAATGTGAAAGAGCCATGACAGAACTAGATCCCTTCATCTGCATCCTCTGGCTTGTGTGGACAATCCACTTCTCCCATGTCAGCATGTGCCAACTGGTTTCCTTTAGACTTTAGAGCATTCCTCCAAGGCAGGTGTCCGCAAACATACAAGCTTTATCCACTTGCCAGGATGGCGCAGATCCCGCAATTTCGACAGATGCAAGGTTCCAGGACTACAAGGTGACAAGATGCTCAGCCATCTCACTTTTGAAGACCCACCTTGTCCAGTGCCAAGGCATGCTCACAAACGTCTCTACTTTGCGACGTTCTCTTCGTATCAACTTGGTTTCGATCC